TGGGGCCAACAGGACAACGTCATCTGCAAAAAGCAGAGACGAGATCCTGTGGTCCCCAAACCAGACTCCCTCCGGCCCCTGGCTGCGCCTAGAAATTCTGTCCATAAAAATAATGAACAGAACCGGTGACAAAGGGCAGCCCTGCCGGAGTCCAACACGCACTGGAAACAAGTCTGACTTACTGCCGGCGATGCGAACCAAGCTCCTGCTCCGATCGTACAGGGACCGGGTGGCCCTTAGCAAAGGGCCCCGGACCCCGTACTCCCGGAGCACCCCCCACAGGGCGCTGTGAGGGACACGGTCGAATGCCTTCTCCAGATCCACGAAGCACATGTGGACTGGTTGGGCAAACTCCCATGAACCCTCCGCCACCCTGAAGAGGGTATAGAGCTGGTCCAGTGTTCCACGGCCAGGATGAAAACCGCATTGTTCCTCCTGAATCCGAGGTTCGACTATCGGTCGAATTCTCCTCTCCAGTACCCTGGCATAGACTTTCCCGGGGAGGCTTGAGGATCTTTATTAACCTTATACCACATCACTCCTTGCATGTAGGTGCCAAACTCTTTGCCGTTTTACCACTGCCCACAGGATTCTTCTCATCCTGGCAACACAGCACAGGGTCTTCTAGACAAACGAACAGTGCAGGTGTCATTTGCAGCATTGCAATAAGCTGCCAGGGTCTGGGGGAGACAGTGTGGTAGAATACTCAGTGTTTCCATTCTGGATCCATCTGGATCCTGTTGCAACTTTTGCAGCAGTCCCCCTGTTGTTCCAGTCTCCAGGACTATCTTCAGGGTTTTTCTTTGCAATTGTACCTTCAAACCACCAAATATTGCTGACCTGTGCACCTTACTAGTCCTAAATTCCATCAGCAAGCATACAGTGTAATAACCTTATTTTTAGGCAGTCCTGAAAGAGCTTCTTCAACTGTTTCTCATCTTTAGTCCCAGGAGCCGTGGCTGAGGGTTCCTTTGTGGCTCCCTTGTAGAGTTGTTTGGTAGGGGCATGGTATGATGTTCCAAGTCTTTCCACTGTTGTAATTTTAGTTGCAGCCTTTTGAGGATCACATGTAAAATTCAGCCATCCCCAGGTAACCACTGGGTACCGAATATTCATATGGCATTGAATCATGAAAGTAGGGGCTGGCTCTTCAACATCACTTCTCCAGATAAGCATGCTGGTGTTACCCAAGTGGGGCACACATTTTTGATTGTCTTATTTCCTGGGCTGCTGTCCTCTGACCTGGATCCAGTTTTCTCGCACCTCCTTAGTTTCCAGTTGCATGACTACAGGCCAGTGGTACTCACCCCAATCGTTATGAAGTGTTTTGGGAGAGTGGTGCTGGACCACATCCAGAGCAGTATACCGGACCCCCTGGACCACCTGCAGTATGCCTACTGGCCCAACAGGGCCACCTCAGATGCTATCGCAGCTGCCCTCCACTATTCCCTTCCTTACCTGGAAAATGGAGACACCTACATCAGAATACTCTTCATTGACTATAGCTCCGCCTTCAACACAGTTGTCCCCCACAAACTCACCCACAAACCGTCCACACTGGGTCTGCACCCTACCCTCTATGACTGGCTCCTGGACTTTCTGACTGGCAGGCCCCAGACTGTCAGGATTGGCAATAGGACTTCAGAGAGCATGATCACAAACATTGGCACCCCACAGGGATGTGTCCTCAGTCCTCTACACCCTGTTCACCCACGACTGTGTCGCCTCCCACAAAGACAACATCATCCTAAAGTTTGTGGACGACATCGCAGTGACAGGTCACAGCACTGGTGGGGACGAAGCAGCCCACAGGAGGGAAGTGGCCGGTCTGGTCTCATGGTGCAAGGACAATAATCTCAGCTTCAACATGGACAAGGAGATGATAGTGGACATGAGGAAGGGGAGGAGAGCTCATCAGCCACTGTTCATCCAGGGGCTCGAAGTGGAGAGGGTGAGCAGCTTCAAATACCTGGGTGTCCACATCAGTGAGGACCTCACTTGGACACTTAACACCACACAGCTGGTCAAGAAGGCCCAATGGCGGCTGTACTTCCTGAGGAGGCTGAGGAGGTTTGGCAT